AGATGAGCATTTAAGAAAGTAAATGGGAACAGATTTGCAACATCAATGGGGACCTGAAGAAGAAAGCTTCACTGTGGACTTGCACAATGTCTTATAAGCCCTAGTATTCACAAAACTAAGCCTATTCAGAGTAAAATCTTGCAAGCCCTTTCTTTTTACTATTATTTTAGTTATTCCTGGACATTATCAAACACATATTAATAGTTTCAGACACCTTATAAAGGCTTCTGGACTGCCTCCCTCAATGGAGGAAGCCAGGCTCCGGGCATCAGATGCTTTGAATTGCTTGTGGCTCTCAACTGGAATGGCCAAACCAGCCAGCCCAGATAGTCCTTCCTAGAAGTAAGAACACACCAACATGCCATCTGGATGATGGCCCAGCCAACTCCAGCAGGGTAGGACACAGACAGAACAAATGACCCACCCAAGATCTTTTTCCAGATTTCCCCTACTGTCTTACACAGGGGTTTATTGCATGTACACCAGGTTGCTGGAATACAGACTTAATAACAACCCTACTAGCTCTCTCCTTGCCTAGGCAGAACTCTTACAACTAACTTGAATAATCCTGGAAGCCCTGCAAGATATTTATGGCAAGAGGAAAAAAGCCAACGAGATGGCCAAAGCACAGTGCTTTGTATCTTGTGCCTGCTACTGCTGTAACCAGTCACCTGAATAAAGTCAGGCCACCAGAGGAATAATTAGCACCAGGCTGAGCTGATGCCCTTTTCACCCTTAAAAGGAGCTTCTCAAATGCTCAGAAACTGGATTGGCCAGTTTTTGCACATACTTTATAGATTAGCAATGCAGAAAAACCTTCATTGGTTTTCAGAATGTATCCAGATTACCTAAGCATGGCATCTGCAGCAGGATCAATCAAAATGCATTACAGCAACATCAGTACCATTCTCCTGCAATGCCAGGTGAGACGTTTTATCTACATGTGCATTGTTTTCATTTTCTTAACTGAGTTACTGACAGCTCTGACCAGACCCTGGAAAGTCTGCTAGGTTTTGTTATTAAAGCTATGGAAGGTTTCCATGAGGATCTTCAGCAGGGAGGCATGCTCTACTGTTCTGCCTCCATACCCAGTTTCTCCTTTTTTAAAATCACCTTTGAGCTGAAACATCTTTCTCTACAGAGACTGAAACTGCAGGTAAATGAGCATCACTGACCTGTATAGGAGAGGCTAATAAAATGCAAAGAAACAATCTTCAATTACATGTGGGATGCAGATGAAAATGGAAAACACTAAACTGAAATGGAATTTATTTTTTTCAAATCCTTCAAGAACCTCTGCTCCCAGATGAATTCTTAATGGCTTCTTAACCCAAAGGTCCTCCCACTCCAGCACTGTTCCAGCGCTGCGGACGGAAAAGTGTTTGGAAGAACTCCAAGACCCACACCAGTTGCTTCAATTAAAAAAGCAAATAGAACCACAAAAATACTTCCTCTTTGTTGAGTTGTATGCACAGGGTTAAAACAGCCCAGGTAAGTATTCAAATGCTGAAAGATGTCACTTTAGGAAATAATTTACACAATCTGTTTACCAAGACAGGGCTCTGGAAAGAGAAGCACAAAGCTATGCTAGGCTTGCCAGAGCAGTGAAAGTGTAGACTGAAACTCTCTAACACAGATCATGTCTAACAAATGGACTAATGTTTCCGCTCAGCAGAATTTTTGTTATTGACCCCTTTGAGACTGCACAAGATAAGCCCAAGCCAAAAAAGAAAAAAAACTTTTCTACAAATATGTCTGATTTGGGCTTTTGTAATGCCATGTGTCACGAAGTTGTTTACAGTTCTCCATAGTATCAGAGTACACTCAAGATCATAATATGAGTTGGAGCAAGCCTAAAAACAGTACTTTACTGAGACTACTCACTGCCTTCAAGAGAACTGAACTCTTCTACCTTTTCTATAAAGCTCATCTTTTATCTTTGCTTGATAGGTTAACCACAGCTCTATGGACAGATTTCTTGCTACATTTCAGAGACTGGTTAAGTCTTCTTCATCTAATTAGAGAAACTATGCTATACAATAATACCTGTCTTTCTACCTAGTAACCCTCTGCTGATATGGAAAAGCTGCATTTGTCTTCAGCTGTTAAATCCAATTGTGAATTTCATTAGTGACATGCTGTAACTCCAAACTTCCTCATCCAGTATTTTAAAACAGAAGCACATCATTTCATAGTACTTGGAGATGGCCCTCATTCCTGTTTTGAGGATCCACAGCACAGTGCAGTTCAGGAACTAAATCAATCATGACAATATATCACACAATCTCCACAAAAAACTACAATAAACTTGCCCCTGGATGTACATTTCCTATTTATAGGTACTGTGAACCAGCTGCAGGATAAAATCATTCACTAATTTTATGTTAGAAAAGTAAAAATTTTACTTTATTAGCTCAATACATGCCAAACAAAGTCCATTAAAGGTCTCATGACAGTTATCAACAACATCCCTCAAAGCCATTTGTTTTAAGCTGTATCATTGGCAGTAAACTAAGACCTATTCCAGTGTTACTTCAAATTAACATCAATAAAGCAACTTGTCCCATTTGCCTTTCCCAGACACGAAGCATAGCATTCCATCTGGCTGTAATACCCCTACTTCTCCAACATTTCATAACTCTAGCTCCTTTACCGAGACTTAAACTCAGCCTGCTCCTCATCTGCCCATTTAAAACCAGAAAACCAAGATGAGCATCTGGATAGGGGAATCAGGCAGCATTTTCATTAGTAAAAAGGAGAAATACTAAAAATACATTTCTAGGTATTTGAGGAAGTGTTGTTTGGTTTTGTAGGCAGCTTCAAATCTACTAACTTTTTCTACAAACAATCAACAAATGTAGATTAAGTGGTCTACTTCATATACAACAGAATTTTCCAAAACTACACAAAACTAGTAGACTAGTAGACTAAAGAAGAAAGGACTGGCTAAGTGTAAGTAGCAGGTAGTCAGTTTTCACAGTGGAGGAAGCTACCATAAATTACTGTAATACCTGTTATGCTCAACATTGATAAAGTTCTTCCAGTTAGCAAGGCAACAATGCCCAGATTACAAAGTTATTCAAGAAGTCAAAAGGAAGTCTGATTATGAAGACCAGAAGTGTCTTACAATACTGAAATTTCACCTACCATTTCACTGCCCATTTGTTACCCATGCATGCTGCACTAACCAGAGGGGAAAACCCCGAATAAGGACATGCAATGATGCAACGAACCCAGTTATCACTGCTGATGAAAGATACTGAAGTCATTGTCATTACTACACTGAGAACAAGGCAGTGATCAAGAGATGTTAGAACAGAGCCAATCTTAGAAAGGATCAGGAACAAATAGAAAATATGCTGCTGTTACGACCCATGATACGTCCATTACACGACTAGCAAAAGTTATATCGAAAAAGGATCTGAAAAAGGGTATTTGTGAACCAGAAACCACGATAAAGGACAATGAGGATGAAAAAAGATCTGAAATAGCTTGGATTCCAAAGTAAAAAAAAAAAAAAAAAAAAAAAGCACGGCTGGGAGCACAGTGCTCAAGGCAAGTTATGAGTTAATGCCATACTCAAAGCTAAAAGCCAGCTTAAATTTTACAGCAGACCAGATAGTATCTCAAAATTATGAACTTGTTAGAACTGGACAGAGAAGAGTCAAACTTACTACATTTGAGAGATCTGAGAAACACACAGATTACTTGTGTCCACATTGCTCTTCTCCCATTACCATTTAAGCGCAAGTGGTTAGTTAATCCTTTAATCATGTCTAATTTTCATTGCTGCAAGCAGGGTTGTTCTTGTGTGCTACAAACAAGAGAGTTGAACAAAACATACACGGACGGGGAAATTTTCACTTAGCTTTTCAAGTACTTTATGAATATTTTAAAAGACATCTGAAGGGTACCAGTGTTTTTCGAATATAAAACCATACAATCGCTGCACACAAAGGTGCTCAAAATACCTGTCTAGGCATAATGTATCGCACTAATTTTTAACTAGCTCTACCCAAATTAGACCAGTAAGAGTTCATTAAAACCTAGCCAAACCTGAACAACTGTACTCTAAGGAAAATTAAAAACCAAGTACACAAGGTCAGTGTAAACATGTTCTTTAATATCGCTGAAGATAAATTCAGAAATCCAAGTTTTATGTGGGTTTCAAATAAATAATCATTTTGAGTAAGTGTTTACATATAAAGGGAGCTCTCAAAGCAGCAGTGCACAGTTTATAATTCCTCCCTGCTACCACACCCCCAACAAGAGAATGTACAGTAGGTAGTGCACACTGGAAAAAAACAATCACAACATACAGCACACTTGCCATCTTCGATGAAACCACTGAATACGATGTTGAAAAGGGGGGAGAAGCAAATGAAGGCATGCACTGCCCTTTAAAGCACCACTATTTTCCCATAGCCTTTTTACCAGCATAATACAAATAAGAAGCCTGGGAATACAAGTCATCTTTCTGCTTCTAAAATCCACTCTCAACTCAAAGATTAACACAGCAGTGCTCTGATATAGAAAATGTATCCCTCAAACTGACATTGCAGCATAACACATCATCCCCATCCCAATTGGTCTCTACTCAGGGACACCTACTAATTTTTCAAATCCTCTCCAATAACTGCGGAGGTAATCCAGAAAGCTTAAAGACAGGTAAGAGTTGTTTCTTGTAGGTCCTGGCCCAGTGTACTGAAAAGAACCAAGACCTGACAGGCCTCAAGAAAGTGTATGGTTACCCAGCAAAATATCTGGTGTCCTATGTCACTCAAACAAAACCTTCCAAAAGTAAAAATTCTTCCTCAAAGTGAAGATTTGCCTTTCTTAAATGACTCCCATTATTCTGCCATAAAAATATGCCCAATGTGAAATTTCTCATGTCAAAACAAGAAGATTTAACAACCCAGAAAGACCAACAAGAAAAAAGATCAATTATAAATATGCCACAAATATACTTCCAAAAGAGCTACTGTGAATTGTTTTCTTAAGTTACTGTTTCATCAAAACATTTTCTCTCTGCAGATACAGGTAGGGCAGTCTTCTACTCTTTGTACTTTAGTTCAACATGCAGTTGATCTGTGATAAGCATTGCAGCACTCACCATAGAAGCACATAACCTACTAGCATAAATTCCTCAACACAGTTAACCTGCTTCATTACTCATATTTTTCTTCTCCATAATATACCTGAAAAATGTTCTGCCTCTCTCTGCTACAAGTCAATAAAAAACTTACTATGTAATACTGCTGTGTACCTACTAAATAAATATTACAGGAGTTAAAGGATTGTTTCAATTGCTAGCTTGGCTTTGGCAAAACACAAATTGGGATAACATACACTGTATACTTCACACATTTGAGTAGGGGATGCTGCAACATTTAACAGATACAAAATAAAATAAATCTTAGATTTCTAGAACTGTCAGCACACAGGATTCCCAAGTTGTTCTGAATACAGGAGCACGGTAATCAATTTTCAAGGAAAGCCACATAGTCAGTCAATCTGGCCAACTGCTGTTCATTTGGAATTGGTGGAACCGGAGCAGGTTCTACAAAGATAAAACAAATGTATCATTAATGAAATTAAGAAAGCAAATCAGTCTGCAATACCATCCATCACAACAGTAAGGAAAAAAATTACATGCATCAGACTTAAAACAGTCTTATAGAGGCACATCTTAACTGTATCTCCTACCTATGCAGCTTTACCTGACATTACGTTTCTGTTATCTGCAAAATTAAGTAGCCCGAGAGTTACTAACAGCAAAGGTAGCTGTAACAAGTTCCAGTTGTTAGCAGACTCCAAATTTCCTTTTTGCATATACTGGAGTCTGAATAATGAAGACTGACAGCAATTCCACTTGACAAAAAGGCTCTGGAGCTCTGCAGTTGCTCCTTTGCTTACAAGTTGCCATACTGAAGATAGCAAATAAATCTACTGGGTTATCTGACTAACAAAACACAGAAAAGTACTGCATGGGTTATAGGAGAATGCAGTGTGCATGCAGATCCTTATATAAATGCCAGCTAACCTGAGATTACAGTTTAACAATAGGTTGGAAGACAAGTGACTAAAGCCAGTGAGATAAGTTAGGACTTAAAAATCAGAAATAAAAAGTAACAGGAAAATTTGCATTTACTCTCCCTGAAGAGTTAACAGACTAGCATTCAGGATATAGTTAAAGCAGACATACTGCGTAGGGCTGCAAGTATGCAATAGAGGAGGCTGACAATCAAAAGAATGTTTTCAAAAAGCAAGACCCCAGCTCTTGAAATGGGCTGGGAATGAAACCTGTAAATTTAAGACACTTTTGGCAACCGTGTTAGATGCAGCAAGCCACCAATTCAGATCTGCTGTCACTATCTTGTGAACAATACAGACAAGAGTGTTTTGAGAATCAGCATGACATAACATATTACATCTCAATCTATAGTTGAGTATAGTTCTAAGGAAAACCAGAAGATCACTTTCTTCTACAGGGAAGGCTTCAGAAGTCCCACATGACACAAAAGCAACAAAACTCAGAGTCGCTTTGTGATGAAATTGCCTTTTCAGAAGTTTTCACCGAAATCCTTTTGTTTTACAGTGGCTGCCTACCCCTGCTTTGTAATCTGCTCCCTTCTTCAGCTATGGAAGTAGGAATCTCAGGCACTCCTTCAGATGTGAGGGGAAGAGAAGACAGAGGGAGTCATGTTTACATAGCACCTGATTGGGGTTTGTTTGGGTTGGGGTTTTTTTCGAGGGAGGGAGTGACAACATTCATTTGTCTGGGACCCAATTCCTATTTTGTGGTGCTGGTGAAGTTCTGTTTATATTAATCATGCAAGTTTTAGAAACATGCAAGCAGATTACATATAAACAGGAAGTACCTGATGAAGGAACAAATCTGTTAAAGGAAGCTTCCAGCACACCTGAAGAAAAACACAATAGAAGTTAGCCCAGTGGACCAATTTTAAACAGTTCTATACATCAAACCAAAACTGTATAAAAAGGTAGTTAAAATTAAGCCTGTTCATTTACTTGTTTTACTTCATAGCTAAAAAGCAGAACACCCAAGGCTTAGCTGGTTAGGCACAGTTTCAAAACAGATGACAACCTCCTGCCTCTTTCTTTTGCCTCTAAAATAGTTCTTGCACTCACTTTTGGAAAAGAACCACATGTAAGCAACCCTCAATACTTGTAAGCACTGCATATTTTGTAACCAGTTAATGAAAAAACTGATCACATCCAAAAGCTCGGGACTCTGGCTGGTTATGGGCCCCAAGGGATAAATTTCAACACCTTGCCTGGCACATGTTTATAATGTTCTGAGCTCTGAACACCTGAAAATTCTGCCCATGCAAACAATATATTTTTTTCTTAGCCTAATAGATGCTGCCCTTTTAGATATGCTATGATTTGGCTCCTTCCAGAGCAGTACTGGGCAGTTTAAAAACAGTCATTTCACCTCTGCCTTCAGAGCTCAAAATTTATTTTTGCATCAGCCAGCCACAGACACTGCTTTAGCAAAAAACCCCAAGTATTTTTGCAGGCTGAGCTTTGCAGGAACAGATACTCTGTTATCAACATCATGACAGTAAAGAAAAGATCCAGTAGAATAAGTTTTAAAAAGCAAAGGAAATTATACCAACAACTTGAGCTCCTCAGAGCAAAAAGATCCACTAGATCCCTGCCCAAAGAAGTTCTATTTCTCCTGAAAAGAAATCTCAGGTTCAAAATGGTATATTTTTTACTCATCTTTATTAGATTAAGACATGTCATTTGAGGCCATCCAACTTATGTTCCACTGAGTCAGAGCCAGCAGCAGAGGAGGAGCGGGAGAAATCATAGCATATCCTGTCTGCTTTTGTTTAAAAAAGTTAATTTGAGGATGTAGTTTAATCCAAACTACTTGTAAGCCCAAACCAAACCCCCTGCTTTGTCCTTCCTATATTTTATAAACACTCCATGTTTTACAGCAGCATAAGCCCCCATAAAAATATCTAAAAGAATACTGTGCAAAATTTTAATTAAAAACTAACACCTCATTACTAGAAAATGATGAACTCAATATCTAATGAAGTAACAGCTCCACCTACCTGGCTTTTTAGGCATTACCATACGAGTTGAAAAGTCTGCTTGCCAGCCCTGTTCCAATACACCTGAAAAGGAATTTTTACATTTGTAAGAACAAATATATAATTACTAGAAATGCAAAATAGAGATGCACATGAAGACCAGCAGAAAAGCATCTCAGTACACTGCCTATATGCCACAACTGTAAGACCTATTTCTTGTAAGCATTTAGACATTTAGTTCAACAAATAAACTCATGAAAGTGATAACAGCACATGAAACTAGGTCAACCCACTACCTTCAGTCTTCCCTCATTGATGAATTGCTTTAACACTTCCACATATAGAAGGGGAGGATAACCAATTGTAACTAGTGGCAAACAATAAAAGAAAATAAAACACTTATTCAGAACCAAGACATTTTTCTCTATTCACTGCCCCATCACTTCTCTTTATAACAGTCTCCGAATTTGCGTACATGTTTCTATTTACCATCACTTACAGCTCTCTGATCTCAGTCATCTGTAGAAAAACTATTCAGTGAATAAATGCAAAGTACCTTTCACAGCTTCTTCTACAGGAAGCCCAACAAAGGCTGCAAAATCATCTGCAACTATTGAGGTATATGCCTGAGAAACCAGTCCAAAGGCCCGTCTCCTAGTTGCATCTAAGAAGAGATAAACACTGTAAGCAGACAGTAGACTAATCTCCATAACTAGGAAATCTGAGAATTTTTTCCAATTTAACACATTTGGAAAACCACTACCACCCTTAAAACTAGCACTTTAGAAATTCCCCCTCCGTTCCCACAATTCACTGGAGTACCACAGTTAGCAGCCAGAGACAACAGCTGGCTCTGTGCCAGGACAAAACCCCTCAGAGACCACATTTAACTTCCAAATGCAGTTTGCAGCATCTTGGGTACTACCAGCAGTATGTAAACCAATTTAGAAAACCACTTCCAATGGCACTCTCCATTTGCAATAAACTTGTGTCAAATAGTTCAGAATCATGAAGAAATCATGAAAAATGATTTGCAATTAGGCAAACTAAACTATTCATGCCTTTTTAACTATATCTGCTTTGATACCAAGGCATCAGCAAATCAGTTGTTTCTAAAGCTACAGAGAATTTTTTATTGCAAAATACCTTGGAAGGCTTTTTAGCAGTCTGTACTGCCCTCTAGCAGTAAGACTTTGCATTGTTACTGTTACAGTCTATAAATAAAACATTTGTCTAAAGCCACATTTAAAAGAAAAACCTTTTCATAAGGTTCTGAAATGCCAAGCCAAGTTCCCTAGATTACTGGTTAAAAGTCTGATAAAACTGGATAACTAATGGTCTATTTTGCTATTACAGAATAAAACATATGGTATATGAAATTCCAATATGAAAGAATATACAATCACACACAATCCTAATTAGCAAAAACATTTCAGTTTGTTCCTACAAGTTTTTGTAATGAGCTTTTTATTTACACCTGATACCTAAAATACTTTAAGTAAAACCTACAAAAACTTGGCAACAATCTTTCTGACCACTTCTGATCTTTCGTAAGTAGTCATTTGTCTACTTGTCTGTTTGTGTTTGAGGACACAGAAAAAATTTAAGGCGACATATAATTCCATGCTACCTACAGAAGTTCAATTTGTACCTCTAAGTGCTTCCATGATTGGTTGAATAGTCTCAGACCACTGATGCGCACTGATTGTTGTATAGATTCCTGGAAAGTCTCTCTGCCAGATTCTTTGTCCTACTGACCAAACTGCACCAAGTTCAGCATTTGCCTGTTGTGACAAAAAACCCAGTTAATTCAGAATGGTGTATTCTCTACAGTGACCATTCTGTATAAACCCATTTCCACTCCCCTCCTTTCCCCATTGCAAGAGTATATCACAATACCTGTAATGATGGACAGACAAGCATTGGGAAATCTTGTTCTAGCAGGTATCACCGCTGCAAGCTCCCTGATCCATCCTCTGCCAAAACTTTATTACCCACATAGGCAAAGTCTGCTCACATGTCAGTTATACCAATCCAGGCAGACATACCAGCCAAAACAATCATGGAGGACAGCCTGCACACAGGCTACTGACCGGAGTTGCAAAGAGACAGGCACAGCTTATTTTCTTAGAGATGCTTGCCTCTTCAGGAGAGGCTGTATAAAGTGCAGCAGCTGTTTGCACAGTGAAGGTGATTTCCAACTTGAAATTTTGTCTTCCAATCTTGACAATAGGTCACACTTAATATGGTGCCATCCTCACTACAACTGCTCTCCCACCACTGGTTTTAAGGGCTACTTCTACTGTGTTACACATCATCATTTGGTCAACTGGACTCCAGAACAGCCTGTCAGAATAGCAACTGCACACCAAAATGGGTAATAAAGTAGTATTTTCAACTTTGTAAGGAGAACTGATTTGTTTCTGAAGTTAAGACTCATACTAATTATTACTTGACTCAATTAGTAGAAGATTCATCAACACATACACGTAAGAAAATACTATGCTTTGAGGTGTAACCTTCCCAAAATAATTCATGCAATGAGTTTCCCCCACCAAGACCAATGCTTCACACGAAATGCAAGTTACACCAAAAAAGCCAGATTATTCACAGAATATTGCTGTGCAATAAACACAGCAGGTTTCAGAGAAAGGCTAAGTAAAATGTGGTCCAGATGACTATTGACTCAAGCAATGTAACTACTTTTTTTCTTGAAAAGGAAGGAAAATTATTTCAGAACCACCTGACAGGTCCTATCCTGACCATGAGGTTTCTTAATACAAGACTACAGAAAACTTGTTTCCTTGTAAAATATGATCTCAAACTAAAAACCTAACAACAATAAAGTCTGGAAGCATTTCTGGTATTATATTCAGCTAAATCCTCAAAACGCATCTTTGACCCAAATGCAGTGCAAAACAAGTGCCTTCAGAAAGTTAATCAATTTGAAAATGCAACTTATCTGAAGTCACTTTTTACTACGCAAGGTATTCTGCACCCTCAGGTGGAATGTGGCCCCATCCCAGATTCAGATCCATTGCTTTCCTCCAGCTGACTACCCTTCATCACAAGGCTTTCTACTAAAAAAAAAAAAAAAAAAAAATCTACAGATCTACTGAATTCTATTCCACCAGATTATTTGTTAAGGAAAAGTAGCGGCAGATGAGCAACCAGGAGATCTTAAAAGACCAACACACCATCTGCTGGGCAAGCAGTTCACAGCACAGAACTGCACCCAAGGCTACTCACCAAACAGAATCCTCAGGGGAAAAAGTCATGATCTGCAAGCTTGTATCTAACTGGTTTAGTATCAATGGTGTTTTTCAAAGTACTTACAGATTTGATAGCAGGAGGGATTCTTTTCCAAAGATACCGTGCATTATTCCTAAAATATTAAGTTAAAAATACTTGTCAGTAACCAAATGTCTGCTACAAGGAGACAGCCAAAGGTTTGTTCAGATGCTATAATTAACACAGTCTCAGTGCTTTAAAATATTCCTTCTATGCCTACTGAAGTAGAAAAACAAAGTTACTCTCAAGTAGACAACATAACTACCATAATACAACAAATAGTTCATTAACTGTCTCATTTAACACCCATTTAGAAAATGTTTTTCATTTATCTACCCTAGGCAGCATTTCACAGAAGTTAGTTTTGTGCTTTTATTTTTGGAATAGCTGCATCTTTGATGAACACATGTACAAAGAGTAACTTTTCACAGTGTCAGCAGTCACTTAGGCCAGTGGTCTCCAAACTTTCATCATGTGCTTCTAGCAGAAAAACATTTTTGAGCATGCATACACATGTATTTATGAATTAACTATATTAATACAGTAGTACATGTATAACGTACATTATAAAGCATACAAATACAGAAGTTAAAAAGGATGAAATAAACACCATTTATTTTTATTTTACTTATTAATAGTACAAAAATAACTTTCTTCATGTGCCCACACCCAACTTAGCCTACCAAAGATTTAGACTGTTCTCTGCATGTTCCACCCAGCCCAGCTTTGTCACATACATTCTGGAGATTTGGAGATGTTGAAATATTTAGTCATTAATCTTTAGAGCACAGAAGTCAAACTGAAATGGTTACAAATTCTCAGAAAGATTTAAAATGCAAAATAGAGAAAGAGACTCACTGCTTTTCATTAAAGCACAATTCTGAAATTCCACACTCCTAAAACTTCATATTCATTTGAACCAAGGTTATTTGCATTAAACCTAATACTCAGTATCAGCATTCAGGGAATTTGCCCTGGAAGAATATACATCCACAATGCAAGAAAACACTCAAATCTTCGAGTCCCCGTAGCAATGCTTACTTTGGCTTGATAATCAAACATGGCTGTGTCATTCTGCCTGAATCAGCAATTTCTCAACAAAACCTTAAACACAGCCAATCAAGTTCACACAGGGACACGGTAATAATCCAGCAGACCGAACTCAAAGGATTACTAATTCATGCAGATTTAGTTAATTCAAGCCAACAGTATCCCTCGTTTTTAACATGGTCAGTTTAGTGTTATCCTGCTGTAATTAGACTCAAGGAGGAGCATGCAATCTTACTCAAAACAAATGCAGCCTTGAAAAGCTACAAATCAAAACACTGAAGTGTTCAAAATTTTCCAATCTCACTATTTAAGGAACTTTCTTCCTAAAGCCAATCTGT